AGTAAAAGAAAGTTTTAAACGTTTACTTGCTAAAAAAGTTGACAACATTTGGCGATAAACCGCGAAACATTTTGGCAACAAAAACAGCTTTAAATTTTAGTGGGTCGTACAGTAGATTACGGCCCGCTTAATTGACCAATCATAGCAGGCGTACTAACTGAGACATATAACAACGTGAGATATCAATTTTATATGCCTTGCATATCGCCTGGCATCCAGCGAGTTGCGTTCAGTATCAGTAATTCGAACAGCTTAATCGGAACAGTTTTTTTACCTGAAAAGCGCAAATTAGTTGCTAAAGATAGCATTTTTTGCAGCTATTGATTCTGTTAGTTAAGTTCGATTTCCGCAAACAGATTATCAAAAGGCAAATGAAAACCTTAAACTGAGAAAACGCACGATATCCCAAAATTTCTACTCATTGCGCTAATAAGCACTTGTGCACTTGCCACCTAACATAGCTACAAGACCGACGCCAGCATATCTTTCGATCCGGCGCGAACGGTTTTACACCAGTTTCCCTCGCTTGAACTTTCAATTTCAAGCCTCCAACTTGGATGTTACGACTAGATTGATCACGCTAGCTTCAGAGTGAGGTTTTAAAGTAATTTATCTCAAGCGTTGCAATTGACAAAGTAANAAATTAGTTGCTAAAGATAGCATTTTTTGCAGCTATTGATTCTGTTAGTTAAGTTCGATTTCCGCAAACAGATTATCAAAAGGCAAATGAAAACCTTAAACTGAGAAAACGCACGATATCTCAAAATTTCTACTCATTGCGCTAATAAGCACTTGTGCACTTGCCACCTAACATAGCTGCAAGACCGACGCCAGCATATCTTTCGATCCGGCGCGAACGGTTTAACACCAGTTTCCTCGCTTGAACTTTCAATTTCAAACCTCCAACTTGGATGTTACGACTAGATTGATCACGCTAGCTTCAGCGTGAGGTTTTAAAGTAATTTATCTCAAGCGTTGCAATTGACAAAGTAACATATCTTGTGTTCTGAACTTA